CTTTCTTTAATCTTTTCTCCTTTTTTTCAGTTTTTTGACTATGAACACTATGGCGATAGCCGTACTGCTCCACTTGTGGCATCAAGACAATTATTCTTATTGCCATATCGCCAGAGAGGACAGTGTTAGGAAGAGAGAAAAAAAGAAACCAAGTAGACATTTAAGGTTCAGTGTGAAAAGAAAGTCTGATCAAGTTCTGAATAACCTACGACTTCTGAAATCTTGGATTTCTGTCTGTTTTTTTCTGGAAATTTAAACGTTTACTTTTAAGGATACTGGACAGGAAATTACAACTTGAGAAGCACAAACAATTAAGGCCAGGATGAGACATGGTGAGATATGATCAGACACCGACAGCCCAAAAGCAACACTCCATACTTTTCTAAACATATACTATTTTACTGAAAACAGATTACACTATATGCAGATGATGCAATGGTTTATAGGGGTTTCTGTGAACTGCTATTTGGCAGAAATGATTTCTACCTGATCAGGAGAAGACTGAAGACCAGTTTGTGGAGAGAAAATAAACTGTCATGTTGTCCCAGATTGCACATGAGGTAACATAGGCTACGTTTACACTGCAGGCCTTGATGCTCAATTTTTGAAATCCGCGGATGTCTGGGGGACAGTGATTCGCCTACATGTTATGAATGCTGGCGTACCATAACGGATAAATTATGAACAGTTTAGTTTGTGCCTTCAAGTCGTTGCCCAGAGGAAAACGTACTTGGATATAACTCAACGGAATATCTTCAGAACAGCTCCAAATGACACAAAACTCATATGGGTGAGTAGAACATGATGTAATAATGTAAAATCAAGGGCCCAATGTAAAAAAAAAAAAACGGTGTTTCCCTTTAATGTGCTTCAGTGTGCTCATAACTTATACAAAATGTACCCATAACTTATCCAACGTATGTCAGCATTTTTGCCGGATTTTTCGTACATCAGGCATACGCTGGTCTAAATCATCAAGGTGTGACAGAGGCTAGAAGTTCATCTAAAGCTTGTACTTCTACAGGTTGGAGCAAAGGTGTCAAAGTTGTTCCAGAAGGGGCCGTGTGGATGCAGATTTTCATTCCAACCAAGCAATAGAACACCAGACTCCAGTCATCATGTTCAGATCCTAAATGATGTTTAGCTGTTGTGAAAACAAAGTTCAGAAGAGTGAGTAATTGTGGGATTTATGTACGCGTACAAGTCGCAGGTTTTTCATTGGGTACTATTTGTTTCTGCAATGCTGTTGATTCCTGCTGGTCAATGTGTACCCAGTTATTTGCAGGTCAATTAAGAAGACTTAAAGGAAGGACACTTCATGCTACTATTGCATATTATCAGAGCTATGAAGGCCACTAGAGGATGAACTCTGATGATAGAGGAGTAGTGACATTCTTATAGCAGCTAATATATAATCAGGGGCTGAGACAGCATCTGATTTTTTTTAAATTCCTATTTAGATAAACAAGCAGGACTTACCGTGGGGAAGAAATGCTTTCATCAGTAACACTAGAGTGACTCCTTTTTCCTTTGACCTCGACGTTAGTTTTTTCCTGAAAGAGTTTGAGACCTTAATTAAATCACTACCCCCCTTATCTGAACACAGCAGCTCTGATCTGTGCTGCTGGCATCTCAGAAAAAAAGAAGAGTAGGAATATTTGACCTTGCAGGAAAGACAATGAGCCTCTAACCTTCATTATGATGTAGAGGACTCTAGTCCTGGCCGATAGCAGGATCCTGTTCATCTTCTCTGCCATTGAATTCTTTAGATTTATAGCCATCATATATTCGCCGTAATCGACCAGGAAATCCAAATTGGCTCCAGCCAGCTTAGGGAACTTGGACTGCAAGAGGTCCAGAAAGCCAGCCTTCAGTAGAGTCCCGGGACACTGGAAATCCTGGATGGCGTGTTTCTGCAACACTGAGAGAACGGAACACCATCAGTCAAAAAATAATAAAATGAATAAAATCAGGTCATAGTTTGCAGGTGTTTTGTGAGGCATAGTTCCTGAGTTCACCCAAGCATCATCCCTGATGTTTACAAGAAGACACTGTGGTTGGAAAATTTGAATTTCTATTCGTTTCTTGTTTCATATACTTAGTTATGCTGTTTAGTTATTGAAAAATCTTTTTTTTCAGTCTGTTTCACCTTCAAGGCCACAAAATACCCGAGTGAGAGGAGTGTTTGTAGATAAGACATACTTATTCCCATAACAAGCCAGTTTCTTTCTCAAGGTTTATTCATAACATCTTAAGGCTGATTTGTGCTCAGAAACCAGGTCGTCTGCATGGGTCACAGGGACCGCAGATATGCCCCGCCCCTTCCGCAGACGCTCTGCTGCACCTCTCGAAAATTGTAGATGAACGCAGACAGTGCTGCAGACAGGTGGCCTCTGATTGGTCAAATCTAAATCCGCTCTGGACTATGCGTATTTCCTGTTTGGTTCCTTACCAGCTTGTTTTGTTTGTATGACCGCCATTGTGGAAAACGACTCGTGAAGATGGACCAGCTAGAAGAGCGAGGTGCACGAGAACGCTGGGACTATTTTTCCACCTGGATCCTTGCTCGTTTTCGCCCTCATGTCCCTCCGTCGTAGCACAAACCTGCCCCCACTTCTTCACCTCCTCGGCTGTATCTAGACCCACAGCTAGTTCCTGATTTTCCCCTCTTGCGTTGTGGCGTGGAATAAACATATCCCAGACCGTGCTTCAGCATTGGGCATAAACGAAAAATATCTGCGTCATACCTGCGACACACTGCTGCAGGAGGATAGCCATCCCTTCAGTCACGAAAACACCTTTGAAACCACCAGAAAGATCTGAAAGGTGTTCCAGTGGTGAGGCATGATGGGGGGTGGGTTACTCTCACAACCCAAAGGCAATGGACTCATGAAGCCTAGAGCCATATCTAACCAGGCTTCAAGGTCAAAGGTGTTTTGCTCGGTGCCAGCTTTGGTGGTATTGTTGTTATGATGATCTGAATGCTCCTTTTCTCATGTTGTGTAACCGCTCCCCGATCTCTGGGACCTTTAGGATCATAAAGAAAATCAAAGGTCCTACCAGATATTCTCTCTGTTCACATATTTACCAAAGAGTTATGGACTAAAAACATTGAGGTGGACTAATGTGGACTGTTCCATTTGCCGTCCATGTTGGACAATCTGTTGGACAAGCTCCCTGATTCTTTGGTTGACCACCTGCGAAGTAATGGAGGATGAAAGCGCTCCACTTCAAAGGTAGTTTCTTCTCATCAGAACCGAGCCGGCACAACGGGCACAGTGAGAGATTCTGACTTGTTGCTTGTTTTCAGCCCCGAGGATCAGAGCGGGGGTTAACATAGCGCAGACCATGCTTCAATATTGGGCATAAATCAAAAATATGTGGGACAAGCTCAGTGTGACACACAAGTTAATAACCTTCAACCTGTTGAAGGTCCCTTCTATCTACTTCTGAAAGTTATTCATTGGAAATACATGAAACTGCTTTAAGATTTATGTTTATAATAATGCTGTCAAAATTATCGCGTTATTATCGCGTTAACGCAAGGCCATTGTAATGGCGATAATTTTTTTAACGTGAGATTAACGCTATGTGGTTTTATGGTACAATTTTCCAAGTACATCCCGCTGCAGCCTGCGGGAAGGCGGGGCTATTTTCCCCCAGTGTATGCATTTTCCATAGGCTTCGAGAGCGGAGCTCCTCAAGGAAAAAAGACGCTCATACACTGGGTGACGCTAGTGCCTTTTCTTTAAGCCCCACCACCAACAAACAAGTTGAGTGTCTGGTAACTAGTAGCAACCTGAAATACGCTGAGAAAACAGATTACTGAGGTGAAATGGAATCTGCTACGGCACTCTTGCTGTCTGTGTACGCCACAGGTCAGTATCGTGTGTGTGTGTGTGGGTGGGTGGGTGTGTGTGTGTGTGTTCTCATTTTTGTTAAGAGGCTGAAAAGCAACTTTCTAGAGCATAGACTACCTCCATCTAGTGATGTGGGTCTATTGATTTTGATGTATTGATTGAAAATTGTTCATTATTACCTTGGTTAATTGACATCTAATGTTAACTCTACTACATTTTACAGCAAAAGACTGTATTAACTGTAAAGACTGTCTTTTACATCAGCCTGTTTTCAGGGCCTTTTTTTTGGATACATATTTGTTATTTTTTGCTACATGCCTCCCCATCTTCTTGCCATATGTTTCTATGGCATAAATCAGTGTCTGTGACCTGTTTTCATTTAAAAAAAAAGAACATTGGTACAAACCTAGCCTGTATGTATTTTTTGCATGTCATCGAGAGTATTTAAATGATTTTCAATCAGAAAAAAAATGTGTGATTAAAATGCGATTAATCGCGAGTTAACTTAGGCATTGATGCGATTAATCGCGATTAAAAAAATTTTATCGATTGACAGCACTAGTTTATAATAATAGAACCAATAATTTAGTGGTTCTGGGCATAAAGAGAAGATTAAAGGACAGCCATCCAATCAGCTGGTTTACCTGAAGGGGTGATGTGATTTATTTTTGGGTCATCCAGGATACAGATCTTCAGATTGAGCAACTGTTCTGGTTCATAGTTGCTAAAACAAAGAAAAACACAGAGATTAGAAGAGAACATTAGAAATGAAACAGCCTCAAAGCCGTGGGGGTTTTAGGTTACCTTAGGGTCTGGATGTCTGGATATGCTGTGCTGGGATGAGCTAAAGGTTTAGTATCTTCTTTCTGTGGAGGTTGCTTCAAAGGTTTCACAGACGATAACATGTTTTTATTTCTAACCGATGCTTCAAGGAGCTGGAATCTGGATTTGTGGTAAAGGCAAACGGACATACCGGCAGCTGAATGTAGAGAACTGGTGGAGGGAACCCTTGGTCGACAGAACCGATAGCCCTCTGGATCTCTTCCGGAACGAGGCGGTTAACCTTCAGCGGTAGAAGTTTCCCGCTTTGAAGAGTTAAAACCTTGAAAGCTTGACCAGCCAGCAGAGAAAATGTGGACCTTAGTAGATCCATGAATTCCTTCTCCTGCAGGCCCCAGGGACACTTCAGCTCATGGATTTTGTGCTTGTTAAGAGCTGAGAGAGAAAAAAACAAAAAAACAAAGGAAACATTCAGCATGGAAGAGACATGTGGTGCTACATTGTTCCACTCTTCATCTGACTTTATCCAGTTCATCCAGTCTTATTCGATTTCTTCCCACACAGATATCTTTGTTAAGGAGGGCTCTCACAGTAAGAGGCAACTCAGGCAGCCAAACGGAGCTCAGGGATCTCATTTGGTCCAAAGACCTTAATGATCTGGTCCAGACTAACATTTTAACAAGGGATATTTATATTAGATATTAGCCAAAAAACTGATATCAGATATTTAAAATGTAACATATTTTCATGCTAACAGAAACTCTCTACTTCTGGTAAAAGTTTCTTTAACTCATTGGTTAATTTAAATGGGTCAGTGGTTATCATATTCTTTGTTGCTGACTTTTGTTCCCTGTTGTAGTAATATTACTTGACAAGTGTTTTCCAACATTCTTCAGAATAAAATAAGTAATAAAAGCTTGTATTATTCAAGCTAATCTCATATCAGTCAATCGGTATCTGTTCATCCTCAAAGCTCCAATATCGGTATTGTATTGGAAATAAAACAGCTGTACCAGGACCCCTAATTTTAATATTTCCCATATTGGATATTTTCCTTAGTTCCCCTAGAACCTAAAAGCAAATAGAAAAAAATTAATAAAAGAAGTTTAGCCTTTGTCAATAAAAACTGACACAAAACCCAAGTTTCCTTGGACACGAGCTCATACTCTTTGCTGATGATATTTTATGGTTTATCAAAGACCCAATGCTCTTGTTGGGCCATAAACAATGACATTCATTTTGATCATTGGGGTTGGAGGACGAAAGTTTGTCTGTTGTTGGACTCTTTAGCCTATGCAACCCCTACCAGCCCACAATTTTCCAAGACACTCCCACAGGACATGCAATCCTGTGCCTCACGGGGTTGGGGAGAAAACACCAAAATCACAGGATTTTTGCCTCTTTTGATGCTCATCTCAAGCCAGCCACCCTGAAAAGCCACCAACATAGCCCCATGTCCAGAGACCAGAAACACCAGACTGGCTAAGCAGACCTCTTAGCTAACCTCAGAACAATATTGCGCAAAACCGACTGTTTGCAACATTTGTCTCCGAGTCTCAGGAACTTTCATATCTTTGAAGAAGGCTGGATGTGTGGAGCACCTGAAAACAAAGAACATCCCTGATGTGGCCTGCTATACTAAGCTGCTGAACAGCAGAGGTACAGGTCTGACACATTTAGGGACGAATTTTCCAGCTAAATAATTGGTCTTTCTGATGATTTTTGACCATTTTATGCCTTTAATGTTTAAAAAAAAAGCTAGCCAAATTGGGCGCATGTGTCATGGTAACATGTTTGAGCTGCTGTTTATGAAGCTAAAAAGATCCTTATTTCACTGAGCTTGTGTTTCCGTACATGCTCATCACATTTTCATTAACAAATTATGACAAAAGAGCCATTGAAGAGGAGTCCCTTTATGTCTGCTAGCTAGTAGCGCAATGAAAGAAGGTTAAGACTCAATTGACTAAAGGTCATTGGTTTCCGATTAAGCAAATCCTTTAATTCATCTCTTGGGTTTACATGCTAAATTGATTTAAAAGTATTCCGATTGCTCTAAATTAGTCAAAATTGACAACATGCGAAATTTTTCATCACCTTATCGTAAATATAATAATAGAGAGAAGAGACAGAGCTGAGCTGGACATCTCAACTGGACGCAATCTAGGGACTACAGCTCCCGAGGGCTGGGCGATAAAACGGATATACTCGATGTATAGTTAAAATGACTATCACAACCATCGAGTTCAAATTCACATGAAGACATTAAGCCATCTGCACCTTTTTCACTTAGAGTTTTATTTTTCCCCACACACTTTGAATGCATCATAAACCCCTCCTCCAAACAGGATTACTTTCTGCTATAGCAACCGGCAAATGAAATAGGGCGACAGCAGGTGTTTCAGTTGATCAGTACATGGCACTAGTTTGGATTTCACACCGAGGACGTCAAACAAAAGGCACCAATTTGTAAGACGTGCCGCAAAAACCATCGCTGCAAAAGGTAGCAGTAGGGGTGTAAATCTCATCCATCATGGCGATTTGATTCAGTATCATTTTCCTGACCCAACGATTCGGTTATTTTCGATACTCAAGAATACACCACGATACGATTCGATTAATTGGTTCGTATTTTTTTTGGTTTGTTTTTTTTAAACACTTTACAGTCTAGACAATGTTTCAAATTTGAAATAAATCAATGAAAGCTATAATATCGTTATGCATTTTTTTTGAGAAACAAAAGCAAATAACAAAAGTAGAAAAGTTGTACTCCACCTATTCCTATTACCGTATTTTCACGACTATAAGGCGCACTTAAACGTCTTTTTTTCCCCTCAA